TTTTTGAATTTTTCAGTTGTGTTGTCATATCCTTCTATGGCAACAAAAAATGACCATCACTGAAATTAAGTCCTACAGTAGAAGAGCCTTTGAAAACAATGCAGTGGAAAGGAAAGTTGTGAATAATGCAGAATGCTAAAAAGTCAGGAAAAACCTGTTCTCATTTTCGTATTACATCCTACCACTCTTCGGAAACGGTAAATGACGATGTTGACTCTTGATGGAAGCTTGGCTCTGGTGTGAAGAATTGAACTGCTTTTTAATAGGTTTCGCGTTGTATCTACAAGTTTTTAATTGTTTCTGCGAACCAAATAGCCAAGCTATTTATTAATTTAATGCCAGCAACACGTGCGCTGAATTGCTTCCATTAAGGAGCGCTAGGAATCAAACACGAAACATCGATTTATAAACGAATCTACACGTCTATCCGTTTAAGAATAATAATTGAAGATTCGAATTCTTACAGTGCATTTATGAATATTTAATTGTGGCAACAGCTGAGAGTTAAAAGCTTGGCGAAGTATCGCTCTAAGACGAGATTTGGCCTGAGACGTTAATGCTAATTGAAAAATGGTAAAAAAGAAACAAAATTGAAGAAAAATATTGATTGAATATCTTTGCCAGGTTGCAATATATTTTACAAAAGCGACATGTTTTTAATTTTGAAATTTTCTTTTTTTCTTCTTTTTCTCTTGTTTTTTTTTTTTTTTTTTGGCTTCTACTTTGAATAGTTTTTAAGAATTTTTCATACTTCAATGATGTTTCCATGCAATTCTAATCAATTTTAGACTTTGTAGCTGAAGAAATCTATCTGGAAACATTTTTAAAGACAATAACATTTACGTCTATTCCTATAGTAAAATACAGAATGCATTTTACATAGTTGCCATTCTTTGATGAATTTTAACATGTATTTCTATAGTAAAACCGTTGTTAATATATTTTTATAGTAAGGATTAGAGAAAATCTTTATAATAAAACTCATTAGTAATACCTTTTTATAGTAACAACGATTTATAATATGATTTCTATAATTAAAATAATACCATATACTTGCGTATCACCTAATCTTAGAAAACCTAATTTTGAAACTAATTTAACTACAGTAAACGGCGTAGCCAGAGCCAGCAGTCCATACTTCATTTTTAGATCCTATGTATGATGATAACCTCTCAAAATTAGATTCAAAATTAAGTCTTCAAAAGCCGCATGATACGTGAATATATATGTTGAAAATGCCTCTTTCTAGTAAAAATAATTGAGCATATATTTTTTAGTGTAAAACACATTGTCTATACGTTTTTATAGTAGAAATAAATGGATTGCATCCTTAGAGTAAAAATAATTCGCAATACATTTTTAATATAATCATCCATAATGCTAAAATCAATGCAATTTTATAGTAAAATCATTGACAATGAATTTTTATAGTAAAATCATTTACAATGCATTTTTATAGTAAAATCATTGACAATGAATATTTATAGTAAAATCATTTACAATGCATTTTTATAGTAAAATCATTGACAATCAATTTTCATAGTAAAATCATTTACAATGCATTTTTATAGTAAAATCATTGACAATGCATTTTATAGTAAAATCATTTACAATGCATTTTTTATAGTAAAATCATTTACAATGAATTTTTATAGTAAAATCATTTACAATGAATATTTATAGTAAAATCATTGACAATGAATTTTTATAGTAAAATCATTTACAATGCATTTTTATAGTAAAATCATTGACAATGAATTTTCATAGTAAAATCATTTACAATGCATTTTTATAATAAAGTCATTGACAATGAATATTTATAGTAAAATGATTTACAATGCATTTTTATAGTAAAATCATTTACAATGCATTTTTATAGTAAAATCATTTACAATGCATTTTTTATAGTAAAATCATTTACAATGCTTTTTTATAGTAAAATCATTTACAATGCATTTTTTATAGTAAAATCATTTACAATGCATTTTTTATAGTAAAATCATTTACAATGCATTTTTATAGTTAAATCATTGACAATGAATATTTATAGTAAAATCATTGATAATGAATTTTCATAGTAAAATCATGGACAAGGCATTTTCATAGTAAAATCATTGACAATTTATCATAAAAATCTTGGCAATGTATACTTATAGCAAAAATCATTGGCTAATACATTTTATAGCAATAACATTGGCAATGCATTTATACAGACTAACTCATTGGCCATTATATTTAATCATAAAGTTATTGGCAATGCATTTTATAGTAATAAACATTGTTTAAGCCGTAAAGGCCATTACCAATACATTTTTATAATAAATTATTAAGTAATGCATTTTTATGTTAATAATCATTGTCAATAGTTTGTTTTTTATATTAAAAATCATTGGCAATGGATTTTTATATTAAACAACATTGTCAATGGATTTTTATATTGAAAATCATTGACAATGGATTTTTATATTAAACAACATTGTCAATGGATTTTTATATTAAA